TTTCAATTGTATGTATTATTAGCGACCCGACTAGTTTCGCCTGAAGCTATATATATAATTTGGCGTCATTTAAATTTTTTAAATAATTATTAATGACTATTTATTGGAACGAAGTTCTTTATCGGACGGTACGAATTTGGCGGATGGGGGCTAGGCGAGAAAAAGTGTAAGATTTTTCCATCACGACCCCATCTGACGTAATTTGTGTTATTGTTACTTGCAGATGGTTAACAACTAAATACGAAAGACCACTAGTACCTCTTGGTCGGAGGAAACAATGAAAAAAGCAATTGCAGAAGCAAAAAAATCCTCAATAAAAAGTGCATCACAAAAATATGCAATACTGTATACGCTGCAACGTCATGTAAAATCTAATATTAGTATAAAGAGCCTTGGCAGTTTCAAGCTTGTATTTAATTAAAAGCAAGAGAAAAATGTAGAAAAATATTTAAGGAATTTAGATGCACTCTTTTACGGTCTGTCGAGAATTGAATTTATGAAATTAGCTGGTGAGTATGCTAAGCGACAAAACATACAAATGCCATTTAAGAACAATATTGCTGGTAAACAGTGGTTTAAAAATTTTCTGAAACGTCACCCTGATATTGTTTTAAGAAGCCCAGAGTCGACATCGGTAGCCAGATTATCAGCTTTTGACCAGCTGTGACCCGTTTTATGGTTTGTTGGAGACCATTGTCGAAGAACATCATATCACTCCTAATATGATATATAACATGGATGAGACAGGTGTGAGAACCTCGTCTACAAAACCATCAAAAGTACTTTCAGTACTTGGTAAGAAGCAGGTCGGAATGGTGAGCAGCTTAGAGACAGGTACTTTGACTACAGTCGTCTACTGCTGTAGCGCAATAGGGTGTCACACCGTTTCACACGTTTTTATTTTTAAAAGAAAAAGGTTTCAGCCACGTCTACTAGATGGGGCATGTTCTGGTAGTGAAGGCACCATATCAGATAGAAGATGGTTAAACGGAGCAATTTTCTTACAGTGGCTAATAGCTTTTGTGACTTATGTGCGTCCTACGAGTGAATGTAAGGCTTTATTATTCCTAGACAATCATGACTCTCATAAATATTATCCTGCTTTAGAATATGCAAGAGATCATAACGTTATATTTTTGTCCATTCTTCAACACACATCGCATAAGTTACAGCAACTTGATGTTGCTGTCTATGCATCATCTAAGGTGGCCTTTGAAATTGAGATAAATAAGTTCCAAAAGCAGTATCCAGGGCGAGTTATTTCGCAGTATGAAATTGTACGTCTCCTTACACCTGCTTACTTAAAAGTAGCAACACCACAAAACGGCCTGCATGAGCAGCCGTCATTTACCCGTACGACAGTAATGTGATAGATGAAGCACTATTCGCATCTTCGACAGTCTACGAGGCATCAACTTCACTCTCTGCAGGCGAAGACCACGGGGCTCTAACGCATTCTCAATTAGAAACGACTGTTTCACCTATGACAAAAGATACGATCACCATACCACACGCTTCAAAAACACCACACATTCTGTTCAATGTACCATCAGATGGAATTACTTCACCAGTTTTGACGACACCATTTATTTTGGCGCACGTACACATACACGAGATCATTCCTCCGGAACAGACAACGCCTATTATGAAAACTCCAGAAAAGACACGATATACGTTGATAGCACCACACATTCCCGTTCGTACATTGGCTGTACCAAAAACCATTGATTATTTCACTGCATCCAGTGCTGAAATACTCAAAGAAATTCATTAATTGCCCCAGGAACAGTTTAAAAAACTAAGTAGGGGTAGAAAATTACAAATATCTGAAATATTAACCAGCACACCTATAAAAACCATACAAGAATATAAATTACAAAAAAAATCAGTTTTAAAATAAATCTTGGAGCTTCTGTGTCTGCATTAAAGAAGTCAACAACCGGCAAGAAAAAAGATTATTCGAAGCTTTTTTACGTGGTAGAGCCATGCTGCAGCTATTAGTAGTATAGTTGTAGCACGAATGGGTCGGCTCGACCGGGGAAGGAACACACTCTCACAGAATACCAGCGTCAAATAGCAGTTTAACACTGCTGTGTTTCGCATGGTAGGTGTACAGAACCGGAGACCTTTTTTACTGGAAAAGAGGCATTCCATCTTAGTCCTCACGGGTGACAACGTATCTGCATTTTGATTCATAATCGAGGATAAATGTAGATGTCTATGGGCCACAGCAACCACTTACCATCAGGTGGACTATGTGCTCGATTGTCACCCTATTATATAAAAAAACCAACAGTTTAAAAAACTAAGTAGGGGTAGAAAATTACAAAAATCTGAAATATTAACAAGCACACCTATAAAAACCATACATAAATTAAAAAATCAGTTTTAAAATAAATCTTGGAGCTTCTGTGTCTGGATTAAAGAAGTCAACAACCGGCAAGAAAAAAGACTGTTCGAAGTTAAAGACAGTAAAGAAAATGAAGACAATAAGTAGTATTGTACTGTGTGCAAGGAGTTCTATACCAGTCCCCCCATAGAAGACTGGATTGAATGCTCTCAATGCCGCGAATGGACGCAAGAGAATTGTTCGTCATACTCGGGACATAGTTCCTATTTTTGTGGGTTTTGTAGTGATTAGTTTCCGAATGCTAAGAGATATATCCATTTTGCCCTTGGAAGTATATCCGTGTTACCTATAATAGGGTAAAACAGATAGGTCAGAGACTTTAAAAAAAATTAAATGACAATGAAGTGTTCATTTTTATGTTTCTTTTATTTTTATTTTTAAACATTATTAACCAGTTTCGTTTTGTTTTATTTTTATTACGTGTTATTTGATTATAGAACGTAATTTTATTATTCAACCTTAACGGATCCTTCTTGCCCTCCCTTCCCCTAAGCTTTTGAATTGATGTTTAAATGAATATTTTGATGGCAAAAGAGCATGGAACTGTTTCATTCCAGTCCACTACCAAGCTTTGTAAATTTATGACTTAAATATTGGTGTAGTTATTCTATTTTACGATGAAGTTTTGACTTTGGTTGTTGTGTGCGTAGGCGCTTGGGAGTAGAGCGCTCGCAACCTCCGTTGAAAAAAAGATGTTTTTCAGTTTTTTGTTAACAATTTACGTAATTCAATTATGTAAGAAACAACGCATTTGTTTATAACAGTCTTTTAAACAATAGGATATATTAATTAAAAAAAATATTGCCATGCAGCTTTCGATGATAAAAAAAGCGGATCATTAAAAATATTAAAAAAAAAATTGCTGAAAAAAGAACTTGTTGCCTAGACTAGTAGATTAAAAAAAATATATTTGATAAACGAATAAATACATGGGTACATTTTGTTTGCTAGCAGTTGTTTTAATATAAACAATAATGTTAACACAGTTGGACTTAACAGAAACAAATGTGTGTCGATGACGCCCCCCCCCCCCCCCCCCCTCCAAACAGCAACGCTCCGTTGTTGTTAACCACATGTCGCCCTGTCTTGTCATGTCTTGGTGATCTAAGAGGAGCGACCACAGTGGCTGTCATGTCAGTGGCGGCCATCATGCTGTGCCACTCCCCATACCTTCCGTGGTTGTAATGTAATCGGCGGTAGATGTGCCGCATCAGGCGTTGGTTCTGGGATGGGTAATACTTACTTCTAAGCGCTTGTTTTCCTGGTACTGAAAGTCAGAGACTGTTTTATCTCTTCTTCTACCGCTTTTTTTTGTTCTCAGCTGGACGTTGAACACTTATTAAGCAATAACTGGCAAATATCAATTGGGACATATGCCCATACTCATTAGAAGCTGTTGAGTCGATTGGTGAGATGTCGCCTCCGCGTACGTCTCCGACATGAATTATCGCAGCATGCAACACTTCCTTTATAAATCTGAAATTCTTTCACCAAGTATAAGTGCCGACAATATCCTCTACAATTATGCCAAATTTCAAGGCAATATCAATAGACACTAATCACTGAAAAAATGGCTGACTGGTGAACAGATAATCAGACAGCTTTTATCAAAAGGCCTCGCCTCAGTGTTGGAAGTTATGTTTTGTGGTGTTAAAACTAATAAATCAATAGCATTGTAAACACGGGACATATCCACGGAGAGCTAATGAAGTGAGAGCTGCTCGTGAGGTTAATTTGAGATCGTGGGCCTGGTCTTTGGTTATTGTATTCACCGTCATTATCATCATCATTACAGCCCATTAAAAGTACACTCTTGAACATCGGTCTTCTCCAAATAATGCCATGAATCACGTTCGTGAGCCACCTGCTTCCATCGACTTTCTGCATGCCTGCCATGGGGATCGTCATAATTATTCGGAGTTAATGGTACGTATTTGTGGAATAAAAACCCTTTTTAACCGCATCATAAGCGGTGGTAATGCATGCATCTATCACGCTCCTTTAAAAAAAAACAAATTAATTTAGCTATGCTTAAAATAGGGGATTGAATTACAAAAGAATTTGTTTAGTTATTTTTACATTGTATTTACATTGTATTTCTACTGCTGTGCTTCAAAAATTGAAAACGTGATGATAAATAATTAATCTAATGTTTCTTAGTAACACATGTAGCGAAAGTCGATGGTACGAGTACATTCCGTTAAATTGGTTTTCAGGGTTTTGCAGAATGGGTGTTTCAAATTTTCAAAAATTGTTGGTTTGGCTCTTTTTCGTTTATTTTGGAATTGGCTATTAAAACTCATGTTTTAACATCTGTATCAATAGTGATGTACAGCACAATTAAATTTAAAAAAATATGTTTAATACATACCCACTCCACATATAGTTTTATTATAAGGAAAGATTTCTTAGTGGAACAACATATTAAATTTATTATGTCATTGACTCGACTCGCTAAACAAGCAAGAAGCAAGTCTGGTTCACTTCTCAAATTTTACTACGTGGTTTAGTATGTGATCGCAGTATAAGAATAGTGCAAGCTTGTGTGAAATACGAACAATAACTTATTTTATTGTAAGCAGTAAAAGTAATGAATAAATATGACGAGATTAATACGGAAGTACCTGAACCTGAGGGTCAAAAAACAAAATATAGATGGAAAACATATTTTTTGAGACAGGTAGATGTTTTTTTCAAATATTTTCTAAAATACAAAACGTACGTTGAAAATGTGGATAAAAAGCGTTTTGTAAATTTCCTTTCATTTTAGTTATTTAACCTTTGACGTGTAGATTATTTAGTGTTGAATACTGAAAAAGTAACTTTGTAAATAGTGGTTTTAGCTTACTTCAAAAAAGGAAGACGTTAACAAGTCGATTGTATGTTTTTTCTTGGTATGTATGTTACACGATATCTTTATCAATTATGAACCGATTTTGATAGTTCTTTTTTTATTATATTAGTTATACTAGATATATACTTCAGGTAGCCATATAAATTTGGAGAAAAAATTCTCCCCTTATGGTCAAAATATAGGGATCAAATTTTTATGGAACTATTTAGTCGACATTACAATTATAATATTTCTGAGTTCACTCAAATGGATAAAAAATATATTTTTAATAATAAGTAAAAGCCGACTTCAAGCAAAAAAAAAAAAAACTTATATTGCCTTTTAGCTTTTACTTTTCATAAAAGTATTTTTTAAGCATAAGTTTTATCGGAGATTAAAATGAATATGCTTAATTCGGCCATAATTTTTGAAGATAGCTTTTGACTTAGAAAATGCATTGAAAAAAAAAGAAAAAAAGTATAAATGGACTGCCTTAACCTCTAGAGACCGGAGAAAATATTTTGTGGCAAATATTTTATATTTTATATATTTTGTGTTAAAAGTTTATCAAAATATCTGGAAAAAATAATTTAAAACATCCTGTCATTTTTACTGAAGTTTTTCCTTATGTTCTCGCATGAGTACACGAGGACTTGGTCCTTATCCGAGTACCTTCTGACAGTAACAGCCTTTTAGTAATGGAATTATAGGTACTTTAATTTCTTTGGAATTAAAAATCACTCATTGGAAAAAGGATGTTTTGTAGATATAACAACTTGCTAGTAAACTTTTAATTATTTTAAATAACTTTACTCTTATATAAAATTTTATCAATTAAATATAATTTATTTAAAATTACTATGCAATTAAATAGTTACCGAGCAAAAGATTTATATCAATAACAAGTGAGATGCGGGAAGTAAAGATTGATAAGAACCTCCGAAGGAGGCTGAGTTATAGCCGAAATAAGAATATTTAATTTTTTGGTTTTTGGCCATTTTGACCCCTTAGGAGTGTAATAAAAAACTTTTTGCCCCTATTCAACCTTGACCCCCATGACATCCTCTACATGAAAGCTATTCAAACTGACTATGCCTAAAGTTCGAGCCACCCCCCAATTTTTTGGTTTTTGGCTATTTTGATGCCCTAGGAGCGTAATGAGAACTTTTTGCCCTTTCAACCATGACCCACATGACCTCCTCTACATGATAGGCTATTCAAACTGACTAGATCTAAAGTTTGAGTCACCCCCCAACTCATTTCTAGTCTTTACTTCCAAAAACCAAGTCGCTTCCGATCGTCGGCACGCTTAGATATTTTAAACTACGCAACGGATTTTGATGCGGTTTCCATCAATAGACAGAATGATTCAAGAGGAAGGTACATGCGTATTATATATTATATAATTCTTCTGTCCGTCTGTGTATGTGACTGAAACTCTCCTAAACGGCTGGACCGATTTTGATGAAATTTTGTGTGTGTGATTAAGTAGATTAGAAAATGGTTTAGATTCACAATTGGACCCGATAGGTGGCGTTGTTGTCGATTTTTTTATTAATGAGATCATAAAAATGCATGGCAATTTTGAAACATTTTTTTTCTCAATTATAATCAAAAATAAGAACTGATTTTATTACTCAAGGTGTTTATCTACGCAATTACCTTAATTATTTTTTACCGACTGCTCCTACTTATCAAGGCGTGTAACAATTAAAATTAAATAAATTTGTAGAGTAGATATATTTATTTTTCGCTTAACTGTCCACAGATTACGTTAACACTATCTATTGATTATTACAATGTAAAAACTTTTTGTTATTAATCCATTAATTAATCTGTGTGTACTTTTTTTTAATAGAAATAGGGTGACAATCGAGCACACAGTCTACCTGATGGTAAGTGGTTGCTGTGGCCCATATACATCTACATCTATCCTCGTTTGAGAATCAAAATGCAGATGCGTTGTCAGCCTTGAGGACTAAGATGAAATTCCTCTTTTCCAGTAAAAAGGGTCTCCGGTTCTCTAGACTTACCATACGAAACACAACGGCATTAAGCTGCTATTTTACGCTGGTATACTGTGAGAGCGTGGTCCTTCCTCGATCGAGCCGACCCATTCGTGCATGGCTCTACCACGTATAAAACGTATACTCTTGTTATTTGCTCGAATGTATAATATTAAATTTACTTGGGTGTAAAATAAGTTGAAAAAAATTAAATTTTAAATTTAAATTTAAAGAGTATAGATTTTTTTTCCTCTAATATAGTCGCTCGAGTACTGAGCATTCTACTGATATTAGTCTTCTATTAATTAATTCATATAAATCAACCATCGATGTTTTGTCCGTTAAATGTACGATTAATTGTATAAAATTTATGCCCAAATACGCTACTCAATTTTAAGACGCCGTTAAGTCTCGTGCTGTCTCTATCACTTTAAGTAAGTGACTGTGACCCCGCCTAAGGGTATTAGTGTTCTGTGACTGTGACACAACGAGACTGATCGGGAGATGGTGACAGAAAATAGTCTCCCATTTTCTCCTGCATGCCTTTTTAAGAATTGATAACTAACCCTAAAATATGAAAGAGAGGTTACGAGCCCTTGCGCCGTTGCACGTCATAAAGAAAATGGCTACTCTTTGTGTAAAGAATTTTAGTATTTTTCCGTGACATTATATTGCATGCCTCTGTAATATAACGTAGTTGGAACAAATTTAAGCTATAATAATTGATGGCATGCAATTCGAAACGGCCGACGGGGCTCAAAGGGTTACGAGGAAATGAAAAAAAAATAGAACATTTCCGTGTTTACAAATTGCATGCCGTTGTAAAAATTAGTATTTTTTTTATCTCAAAAATACTCTACGAAAATTGGCATGCACCCCTCGTATGACCAAGGGTGGAAAATATTAGGAAAATGTTGTGAAAATTCAATACAACTTTTCGTGATTTCAAACTACTTCTAATAAAGATAAATATTAATTTTATGACCAAATAATTCTGAAATACAAATAATAATGAAAGTTTCATAAAATATATGAAACATTTCCGTGTTTTTAATTTGCATGCCGTTTTGCATTTCATAAAACATATTATTTTAAGTATATATCGAAAATGGCATGCGTATTTTTCTTTATTTTCTTTATTATCGATTTATGCCGGGCGTAAAATACTTAGGTGACAAGGATCAGTGCAAGAGGTCTGGTAATGAAACCCTTCCAACAACAGGAGAGGTCTAAGTGGAAAAGTAAATTTTCGCGGGTTGATGAAGAAGCTGATGAATAGCCTGTTCTTAATAAGTGATGTATAGAAGAGGTGTATTAACCGAACTATTAAATTTTATCGACCTCAATTTGCATATCGACGTTGCACAAGCCCGTTTGAATATTTAAAATTCAAAATCAGCACATGAATTATCATTTATTATGTATTCATTTTAAAGAGCCCTCAATAATTTTTGTTTTTAAGTAAACGTTGTCTAACCAGTTTGCAACGGATTATATCCTCAACTCCACGTCACGCTTATTTTGCACGTTTTATGTAGGTATTGCGCATTCTATAATTAATATCTGTGGTACCTAATTAGTTTTAATATAAATAACTTGAATAAGTACTTATTACTGTCCGAAGGTGGAGTTTATTCAGTCTAGTAAGTGACACGGAGATGCATCAATTTTTTTTTTATAGAAATGAGGACGAAAGAGCACACAGTCCACCTGATTGAGTTAACGTACGTCAACATGCTTAAGTTTGGTAATAAATTGAGTGAGGTTATCATGGTAAATGTCAAGGTCGGGTATATTTTTGGTAAACTTGTTGTACAGACAAGATGTACGGATCATTGGGGAGTCGCGACCCAAGTTTGCTCTACAAAATTTGTTCTTTTTTATACAATAAGTGTCACAAACGACCACACAGTCCACCTGATGATAAGTGGTTGCCGTGGCCCATATACATCTAGATCTATGAAATACAGATGCGTTGTCAGAAGCGAGGACTAAGATAGAATGCCTCTTTTCCAGTAAAAAGGGTCTCCGGTTCTCTACATTCACCATACGAAACACAGCAGCATTAAGCTGCAATTTTACGCTGGTATTCTGTGAGAGCGTGGTCCTTCCCCGGTCAAGCCCACCCATTCGTGCCACAACTATACTATTCATATAGCTGCAGCATGACTCTACCACGTATTAAAGACTACACGGATATCTTGGTATCTTGGATTTTACGTTAAATTGGAATTTGGACAACAAAGGGACAGTCTATGTGATTATTTAAAATTTTATGAAGGAGTGACATGTCTAAGTTATTTCGGCGTAAGAAAAGGGGCCCCAGTTGAAAATGATAAATTTTTTCACTATAGGTTTTGATACTTCTTGGAATATCAAAGCGGTTAATCTACGAATTACTTTCTTCTGAACTTTTACGATCCTGTCTATGTCAGTTTTATAAGTAGGGCACCATACTGTGTTGCATTACTCGAGCTAGCTCCTTACAAAACTATTGTATAGCTGAATGGGAATTGCTGGTTTTTTAAAATAATTTGAGTTTCTGAATATGAAGCCTAGTGACCTATTTGCTTCCCCTACCACCATTTTTGTTAATATGGTTCCAATATTTGAAATCGGCATCCATTATGACACCAAGATCTCGAATAGTAGTCACTTCTTCCAACTGGACCCTGGGTTCTCCCGCGCTGGGCGGGATGAGCAACCGGGATAAACGCTAGGTAGAAGAAGAAGAAGAAGAAGAAGATATTATATAAGACGTAATAACGTCGCCAAATGTTTCCCATCCGATATTAGATACATCATTACCTACTTTGTGTTCGTGATATGGATTGACTGCCT